TTATCGCATAGGCCTATGTAAGTCCTCCTAGTAGAATTATCCACATTCTTCATTAAGTCTTGCATGTGCCTAAAAAAGGAAGAAGAAGGGATCTAAAAAGAGGAAGAAGAGGACACCTCCACTGCTAACTTTCAGACTGTTAAGCACAGTATTCAGGACGTTAAATTGAAGCAAAAACTGCAGTACTCATTTCTACACAGCCTACACTGCTAACATTCGGAATGTCAAATGGTGATTAGTAACATTGTTGGGAACGCCCTGGTGTCGTGAAACATACTACTACTACTAGTTTCTATTGTTATTCTACATGAGATAAGTTGTTCTTGTTGTTGCCATGCCCTTCGACTTCCACTTGCAGCGCACCGCAAAAGACCTAATCTATCGAGTCGAATGGATCATCGATGATCACCACCCACGTTCTTCCATTTCCCGTKAGAAAGCAATCGTTCCGTATCGGAGATATGTACGGTACGAGTTCGTAGGTTCTCGTACCGTACAGTACATACGAGTACGTACTGCAATCGAACTCCGAAACCGTGGTTTTATGAAACGAACACACTCACAATCTGACTCGGACTCGACCGATCTCGAAACGAAACATATCCGTTCCGGCGGCAAGGAATCCATTCCAATCCAATCCAATCCATTCCGTTCCGTTCCGTTCGGCACCCGATCGCTGCAAATCTGGATCGGCTCGTTTTGACACCATTCTTTCGGGACCCGTACCCCGGGAGCAATCCAGATTCTCCCGCCAACCGCAGCAGCAACATTCCACGACAGGAACGACGGAACAAAGGCCGCCTGCGAAGCAAACAAGCCTGGAAATCTTTGCAATGATGCCACCCAAGAGCTTCACCGAATGCGTCGAGATTCCCTTTGCTTCTTCCCGACGCCCGAACGAGTGCGGGGGGCGGGCGAGGAGGAAGCGATGCCGGAACCAAAGAAGCGCGCGGCTGTCCGGCACGGCCACTCCGGCGACGGCGGCGTGGGTCTGGCGGTTGTTCGTGGCGTCGCTGGTGGCCTCGGGCACGAACACGAATGCAAAGGCCAATGCAAAGGCCAATGCAAAGGCCAATGCAAAGGCCAATGCGAATGCAAATGCAAATGAAAGTACAACCACGATCACCACCGGGTTTCTCCCGGTGTGCGATGCCTTTGTTCTCCCCACCACCAAGACCAACCGCTTCGTCCGACCGGAACGACGGAATCCAAAGCCACGGAGAAACCACAGAACCCAACACCACGCGGGCGTCCAAAGCCACAGAGCACMCGTATTTCCGATCGCCGCGAGCCCCGCCCCAAGAACGGGGACGACGCTGTGGCTGAACAGCCCGACGGGAAGCAACAAGGCCACCCCGAGGGGCAGGAGGAACGACGAGGTGACCGGGCTGGTCCTGGCCGTTTTTATCGTTCTGAGCCTGGCGGGAATGACGGGAAGCGGCGCGGGCGTCGCCGGCGACGGCGTTTCCGACGTCACGAGCTCGAGCTACGCCGTCGTGACCAAGGTCGTCGAGAACACCGTCCCCACCACCTCGACCGAGGTCGTTGCCGTGACCCTGGGAGAGTCGATCGGGGGCGTCATCGGCGCCGTGTTTTCCGTGGCGATCAATTTCGTGCTGCGGGGGGGAAAGACGGACGACCCCAATGAATCCTCCCCCGACCCGACCGGTAGCGGCACTGCCGGCAGGAGCAAACCGGCGTCGCTCTTGTCGCAGGGCCTCTCGGACAGCGACTTTTTCATTGCAAACTCCGCCAGCTACTCGATTCTAGAGGCCGCGGGGGTTCCCGAGTCGATCGCAAAATACGGAAGCATCTTCATCGCGGCCGTACCGTCCCAGCTGGTCAAGATCGGCTCCAGCATATCCAAGCAGAAGAGAGCAAAGGAAGAGCGACTCCTGTACGAACTCCTCCTCAGCGAGGAGAGGCAGCGCAGACGCTCCAGGTACCGGTTCGACAAACTGTTTTCGTTCTGGAAGCAAAGGAGCCAGGCAACGAGGCAGCGGTTTGTCGATCCGAAAGATCTCGAGCCGGTAACGGCTGCCGGGGAAGCCGCCGCCACTGGTTCGGCTCTCGCTGCCGAAACGGTGGGAACCCCTTCCGTCTTTGTCGTCGACTTTGTGGAAGTCTTTGCGGACGTTACGAGGTGGCTGGAGTACGAGTAAGTTTTTGCGCGGCCGGTGTGGTGTGGTGTTGGAAGCGTCGCGAGCCCCGTGCAGGCGATTGGGAACGCCGCCGCGTGGTGGGAAACGCGCACACATCCACTGACCCAGCCGACGTCTTTTTTTCGCAATGCTTTTCTTGGCCGAACCAACCAACCAACCAACCAACCAACGCAACACGCCAGTGTTCTCAAGACCGAGTACGGGGAAATGGCCTCGTCGGTCTTGTGGATGGGAAACACCCACGCACCCGTCAACAACCTCCAGGCGGCCATCACGTACGCGCTACTGGGCTCCCTCGCCGCGGTTTCGGCGCGCTGGTACGCCGACGTTCTGTACGGGCGGTTCGGCTACGGGCCCATCGAGAAGCAGCGGGAGGTCCGGTCCAGGGGCGACGCCGAGTGGTTCTCCCTCTACTCGTCTACCGCGGCGAGCGCGCTGGCCCTCTTTGGATGCTACGAGTTCTTCCAGATTCCCATCGGCCGGTACATCCAGGGGACGCTGTCGGGGGGCGTGGAGATGTGCTTTGGGTCCTCCCGGTTCGACGCCTGCCTCCAGACCTTTATCGACACGAATTCTCCCGGCCCGACCCCGGAGGCCCAGTTCCGCGCCCTGGTGACCAACCTGTACGCCGTGTACGTCCGGCTCCAGGACATTGCCGGGGACACGAGCTGGGACGACGTGGTGGTGCTGGTCCGCGCCTGGAGCGTCTCGTTCGCCAGCTACCTGGCGAACCTGCAGTAGCGGCAACGGGCTGCCCCTGTTCCACAGTGCACGCACTCGACAAGATTGCTGTTCTGCCAACAGCACTGGGTTTTCTCGGCGGGTTCGCCCGCACTAGAACAGTAACGAACTGCGCTAAACTACAACTTAAAAGATTGGAATGTTTTTCCGTCCATTACTGTTTCGAATGTCTTTACTGGATTCTTCGACACGTTGTTTTTTCGTAATACAGGTTTTTATTTGTGCGTCCTCACTGAGTGTTTGCAAGTGAGAGTTTTGTGGCTTAAATTTGAACTAGTTTAATCCTCGCTCTTGAGGGTCGACATGTCCTTCGGTCGTCTCGTAGGAGTTCCACGGGCGACCTTGGTCCACTTGTTGCCGTCGGGGAATACGATGCCGCCATCTTGGTACTTGGCGGCGAGATTCTCTGGGCCTCCCTTGGGAGAAAAGTCGATAAACTGCAGGATCGATTGCGGCGTTCGCATCGGGATGCGTGGGATGGAAGCGTGTCGTGGGGTCGGCGTCGATGGATACATTCGAAAAAGGATATTGTGAGACGACCAAAAAACACACGGCGGGGCGAGAGAAACAAGCGGTTTGAACAACGGGGTCGCGTTTCGGCAGCAGCACCGCACCTCACGGCACACCAAACACCTTCTATACTCACGGCAGAGTCCGAGGATTTTACGGTTCCGGTGACCTTCCACAAGTCCTCGCGGGTAGGGCGATCGGTACAGACCTTGCCGCCCTTGCCGTCGTACCCGACGACCTCGATGACCGGGTACGGAGATCGGGTCCCGTCTCCCTTGAGAGGGGCTCCGACGACCTTGACCTGGCGCAGACACTCGGGGTGGTTTGGGTCGTTGTAATCCCCCGTGAAGGGGCTGGCTCCCCCCGTCTTGATGGCAGCGGCGGAAGCCGCCTGGGGCATGGCACCGGCCAGGAAGGCTCCGGCTCCGGCACCCAGCAGTTGTCCGAAGGCTCCCCTGCGATCGGTGGGGGTGGTCAGGGCATTGGATTGTGTCGCGGCGGTGGCGGCGAGTGCGAGACAGAGAGACACCTTCATTTTCTTTTCGTTGTTGTTGTTCTTTGTTTGTTCCTGGTTGCGATTGTCGTGGTTTGTGGGAAGGGAATTGAGGGTTCGTTCGTCCTCGACGGAGAATGAAAAATCCGTCGACAATCCGTCGAGCGTTGTGTTGTCACATCGTCCATCATCGGTCCTACCAGGGTAACGTACTTTACCCGTACGAATGCGTTCGTACCTACCGGTACTGTACCGAACGGTACAGTATCAAAATCTTTGTCATGGTTTGTTCTGTGACTCGATTGGCATACGTTGTTCCGTTTATCGTGTTTTCTTGTTTCTACAACACATCTACTCACACTCGTAACGATAGTACTAGCAACTGCTGTGCATGCTGATGGGTAACGGTTTGGTGGTAATACGGTTTGTGTTTGGATCCAATGACGTGTCGAAACACTTTTTTGACCTTGTCTTTTTGGGGGAAACACAAGGAATTAGCAGTTTCGTACCAAAGAAGCATCGACGTCGACGATTAAGAAGCCCCACCAACAGCAGGATCACAAAGCAACGAGTGGCCTCCATGGGCCTCGTGAGGCCCCATAGCTTTAAGAATATGATAGGAGACCCTCTTGGTTGGACCACCGTACACTGAATAAATTCTTCTAACAGCAACTTCAGAAGTAGTACAACCACCAGCACTGATGAGTCTTTCCGGCATACACTTCCAGCAGAACTTCAGCCTCCTGCAATACTACTTGCTCTTCTTCACACGACCTCTCTCAGCAGCAGTAAAATCCTTTGCAGGCTTAGTAGTATTAGAAAGACCACCACCAGCAACACCACCACCAGCAACTTCCCATTCATTCCACCACAGGACATAAAGATCATGAGGACACTTAGTCAGCTCACCAGCTARTCCCTCAATTCCCCCAGCAGCTTCTGACGTGCCACTTTTCGATGCACGAGGCCTCCTTCTTACAACCGGGGCCATCGCAGGAGCTATTTGAGATAACTCAATGGCTTTATTGAGCTTCTGGTTGAACTCAGCTTCACTTGCAATCTGTTGATTCTTGATCTCACTCACTTCATTGGCTGTGACAAACAGCTTTGAGAACATTGTATGATTCCATTGCAACTGCGTCCTTCTCGTCATACCAAGTGCAGTCCCGCCAGCAGCTCCAGCGGCTCCTTTGCCACCACCATCCAGCAGATCATCCAGATCAGCAAGCTCGTCAAAGTGGACCTGTCCACTAACCTCATTAGCAATCAGCTCAACACACTTGATAGGATTTACATCACCATCTAACCTAGTATCAGCAACTGGCAGACTGTAATTCAATTGAATCCAAGAAGCAACAACAACATCTCGACGTATGTCCTCTGGCACCACAACTTGCATTGCTGGCTTGAAACAAGCCCAGAGTAATGCCTTGCCACCAACAAGGATTGGAGCAACTGCATTCCCAAATACATTAGCAATAGCCGGTGCAACAGAAGAAGCAAGCCACTTGTCGGTGATTCCTTTGCTTTTATTAAATGGCTTGTAAAGACAGATTCCTCCAAAGCAAAGCTTTGATGCAATGTTAATATCAGGCCAAGCAAGCTGTGTATCTGTATACCAATCCTGTTGCCTTCTAGACTTCCAACGCACCCTATAATCAACATCATCCCTGCTTCCACCACACTGTCTTGCATAGGTGGTAGCAAACTTCCTAAAGGAATGAGTGCCCAGCTTGCCTTCTGAATCCAGTCTTTCAACAACAAAGGCTTCCTCATTATCAAAGACATAGCGCTTGATGAATCTAGAGTAAGCATTCTTTCCTTTGTTAGTACTAGTAGTAATCCCTTTCTCAATGTTGCTTGCTCTACTATAGTACCTCCTATCAGTAATTCCTTCAGTGAACAGCCATTGGCTTGCTGCTCCATCACCATCTTTGCACAACTTTTCAAGGAATAGAGAAAGCCCAAGCACCACACAGCTCCTATGATCCATCGATCCAAGCAGTATTTGTCTTGGGCAATCTTGTTCCTCCCTGACATTCTTAGACCATCTTAACTTTGCTGTAAGGAACAGGGGAAATGCAGTTGATTTCTCCAAGCTATCTTTGCCAATATGAGCCATATCGTCATTACGACCAATCAAGTGGAACTGGAACTTAAGCATTGCAAGATACCTCAGACGATTGGTAATGGAACAATTGATGACAAGTTGCCTTCCTGCAATCAGCATCATGAAGGATCAGTATTGGTGCAGCATTGGATGTTATTTTAGGTAGCTATTAGTAATACATATTCCTCATTGTCACTAGAAACTAAGCTGTGTATGGTACTAGTTGTAGTAGTAGTAATACTCCTGCTACTAGCACTACAACTAGGACTAGCATGACTAGAAATACTAGTAGTAGTAGTA